TATTTGGCAGCTTTTAGCAACTTTTGATAAGTGACTCAAACGATAAAAAGGCACAATTTTCCATTTAAATTACACAAAAGTACACACGTTACAGGAATTAAGTTAGCTGCTATTTGCAATTGTTTAATTTAATAGTAATAATAATAATAATTGAATACTGTTATTTTTCATTTATGATACACTTTGTTAGTAGCTTGTACCTGTGATTGTTGATGAGTTAGTACACTGTAGGAAAAATATGCAGAAACATGGAAAAGGTGCTAGTAATTTTCCAGGACATTATCCGTTATCTGTTGTAACCCGAAAACACAAAATACAATGCGTAATTAAAAATGCAGGTACAAAAACCTATGGAAAAATCAATCCAGAAAATTCCTTTATATTAACACAGTAGATTGTGCATTATTTTTTACTTTTCTTAGAGTGCAGCATACTAACTAACTACTAATAAACTGCTTTAAAATATAAAACTTAAATTGTTTTCGATAATTCAATGGATTTAAAAATAGTTATTTTTATTTTAATATTATATTATGCATTTATATTGTTACGAACAAATCTAAATTAACATATATAAAATATGTTTTTGCTGAGATTTGACATAACTTTGCATCGTGATTGCGTAATGACGTCATCACGCAATGTCATCACAACATCATTTAGCAACTTTTAGCAACAAATCAACCTTCCTTTAGCAACTTCCCCTTAAAATTAGTTGGCACCACTGCATCCGAGTCCAGCTATTATTAGCTGTACAAAACCGTTCGTTTTGCTGCTTGATATTGAAAATGGGTGCGTCTTACCATATTATTTTGATGTATTATCTTAATTATGAACACACTGGTTTGTAGTGCACAGTTTTACTGTTTACTGCACGTTGTTATTCTTCTCGTTATTTACCTATAGCGGCTAATGAACCGGAAGTCTCGCCCATATACTTCCGCGTTGAACAAAAAGGTGGATAGCCTAAATTACCAATATTTCATTATATTGTGGTAGACTTTCATCATTTTAAAAACTCTGAACATTCACAGTCTTTGATAGGGTAATTAAATATTTTTACATGAACATTTCTAAAATGTAACATATGAGTGATAAAATATGGTAAGCTATTGACTTGACAGTCTTGACGGAAAACAATATTTTATTAATATTAGTATCCACATATATTATCATTGACTTGCCGGCTTGTTACGTAAAAATATTTTTAATCTATTTTTATCTAACTTTAGTTATTTACCATCACCAGTTCTCCAGACAAATTATTGGGTTTTAGAGAAGCAAATATAAAAAAGCAATATTTATTTCAATTCAGTCAGAAGATGTCAAAGTTGAATTAAGTTGGAATTAATCTATTCTTGCCCTTATCTCTGTACAGTCACAATAACAGATTAAAACATTAAAATTACATTACAGTGACATCAGGTTTCATTCACCCAGTTCAATGTCCAGGATGGCTTTTGTGCTCAGATTCCACAACCCTTATATTGTCCTTTATATTACAGGTCCATATCTTCCAGCAACACTAGGCCCTCTCACATTCACCTCAGAGCTAAACTCCAAAACACTGACACTTTTTTATTAATTGTCGTCATTTGTTGAGTGTATTAATTTTTGATCACTACCTTTTCTGTATCCTTTCATTTTGTAGAAACACTGTGGCTTCCAAGGCCTTATAACAAATACATTAAATAAATTGTCTATTAATTTCTCAGCGGTAATCCTGACCAAATACTCTCACAGTATCAAAGTGCAATAATGAACGTGTCCTGCACCAAATAACCAAGGAAAATAAAATAATAAAAATAAAGTCAGTGGTATCACTATATAATTGACTAGAATTTAAAAAAAAAAAATTTATTTGAATTCTGACCAAAGGTGATACCAGCCACCCAGCATTGGCCTAACAAATCTAATTTAGTTTTAAATTTGAGTTTAATCTGTGTCACTTTTTTCTATTGCAATAATACATGTCTGTTCATTTCCTCTCCCTCAGTGCTACATCCACAAGAAGGCAGGGTCCCTTAGCACTCGGGCCAGGCGCTGGTTAAAAGGCTCGTAGAAGCTCTGCAGGATCTCCTTTGTTATGGGCAGCATTGGGCCAAGATTTCGATTGGCTGGTCGTCTGGTGTTGGAGGCGGGGCTCTTTGTGATGTCTGCTTCCTTCTGCAGAGTAAGAGGTCCTGTAGAGTCGATGAAACCCGGTCAGTGATATAACAGATACATATTTGCACATAATGACACATTTCTGAAGATTTCAGAGGTTAAACAAACAGACACACATTACTGTAACAAGTATGTGGAAGGATGAAAACTAACTCACCCAACTTTAGAAATTCAAAGACTCTCCGCATAGTGATTTTTCGGTTGGCAGCATGATCCTCAAGTCGTAGGATGAGTATCTGCTCTCTACTGAAAACACTCAGCCAGTCAAGCAGGTATATGACATATAGTCCCACCTGAAGCCTCACCTACAATAAAAACAATAGTTATTAAAGGAAAAAAACGAAATATGATTCTATATCTTCATCTTTATTTACACTTTTTGTGATTTGATCATTTTAAGTTGTATTTTATAGAAATAAATTATTTAAAAATCATCTTTTGGCCCCTCTGTAAGCCCCAGTGGCCCTCGCCGATCCCCTGGTTAAGAATTCTGCATTTAGAATAGAGTGGTGGAACTATGATGTCATTTTGTAGGCAAAAACCCGGAAGCGAGTTAGCATTTTAGCACTTCTGGTTCCATCGTCCCAGAGTCAATGGGTTTTTTGAATGGGAGTTTGGTTAAATCCCCTAAAATAAGGTCCGTGGTTCACACAAGCTCAAGATACTTTCACGTTTTATTCTACGACATAAAACACACCAGTTACACCCCACTCGTGATATTTTTAAAACTGTTACGTTTCTAACAAGTTGTTAAATGGGACTACAGACGCTGTCAGAGATATTAAACATCATCACGCTGAACAGTTGATCAATTTACAGTATCTTCCAATTGTAGTATAATTTATAGTACAATTACTTGTAGACTAACCAATTAATAGTTTACCGCATTTTATATTGTTGTTCGACAATGTTTTATTTTTTTGCTCCGAAATGCAACGCAAGTCTTCGGATGGAATTCATGCTCGTTTTATGGCTTTCCTACTGATACTGATCTGGGTTCGTACCATAAAGTAAACTCATATTACGATTATTCCATGTAAACACCACATTTACCTGCTTAGTCACTGTGAAAGTGAAACTTTAACTATGCATAGTGCTTAAAGCCACGTTAAAATTAAATGTTTACAGCCACAAGCAGCTGTTAGAAAGCATATAGATTGAGGATTTTCTAGAAGCAAGGATAAAATAACATTTTGTGTACCCATCCAAACAAAACAATAGCTGAAATGTGGTACTTTATTCACTAAAATAAGTTGAATCTTACTATATCCAAAAACTCGCTCACTCTGCTGTTATTTAATAGGTTAAATGCACTAGAATTTTATTGAATAGTACGTGGAGACACGTTTTTAATTAAAATATTCATATTAATCAAAGATTTATTCACTTTTAATGCACCTTATTTCGAAATGTACAGAAATACGAGCTTTCATATGTCCTTTAGTTATGATTATTTCATTTATTCACTATACTATTTATTACTAATGTCTCATTTCAGTTTTAATTTGGCCCTAGTTTTGTATTTATTCCAGTTTATATGAAAAGGTTCATGTAGCGTGGGTTAAAATTCATATACAGAGTAAATCCTTTTCACTGAACGTGTTAAAAAATAAGTTTGAAAAAGTTGTCGGAAGCGTGGTGGTGGTGACGCTGAAGTCGAGCGACCGTGGTGCTGTAGTTTGTTTATAGCCTAAGTTTAGCTTTTACGTTCTGGCACTTTTATTTTGGCTTCAAAATTCATAAAAGTTATATTATTTTGTGAAGATTATCTTGATGGACAAAGCGTGTAAGTTTCATGAACTATGATTGAACTTATTTTTTGTGATAATCCAAACGCCTATGGAAAAATACTTTTTGTCGAGGGAACCAGTGTGATGCTAACAGCCAATCCGCATACCCCTCATAGTTCCCCCACTCTATAGCTTTAAAGTGAATGCATTACTTTCATGTGTTCACCAACAGAGGGACCCAAAGACTCAGTATAACACGTAGCAGTGTAAAAATCCCTGATTTTTTCCAGTTTTATAACAGTATTTTATGCACTGCTGTATTATATGGTGATTATTCTTACTATATCTTTTACAGTAAGTAGCTTCTGATGTAAACATCTTGTGTAGTATGTATTTAACGTGCTGTATTATAATATTAATAAAGAAATTCATCTCCAACTGATGAGCAGACGTTTAGTACAAATTATAAATAATTAAGTAATTAATTTTGACAAATTTGATTATTTATTTCTTGATATGTACATTTTTACAACCATCAAAAATGTTAAAATGTCCACCACGTTGTTCTCAGATAACTTTATACCAATAAACATTTACATTTATTATGTGTATTGATGTTTGGCTCCATTTTAAAGAGTATAGATAAAATCAGAGAATTACAGTATATTAAATGGCTTACTAGTGTTCACAAACTGACATTTGATTTATTTATACTAAAATAACAATTCTGCATTCTGTTTGTTACCTCAGTTCAATTTCAGTTCATTAAATCAAAATATAATAGGCATCCTCGTTCAATTCTGGATGGTGCACAAGCTTCTATTTGTATTATATTACATCCAATTTACCAGACTAAGCAGCAATGATTCAGCAATCCAGACATTTGCTGGTTCATCAACCAGCTTCAACAATCAAACATTCATGACTTTAATCCCCAGATCAGTGCAGCAAAACAATGTATACTTCACAACACATTTAGATTTCTCTAAAAGTGCTTTCATTTCAGCTTCCAACAGCTTTCTCCAGAGGTGAAGATCATCTACTGGCTGCACAGCTTTGGGGAACAGCCAGAACAGCTCATACCCTGGTGGGTATATCTTATCTATGCGGCTGCACCTGGTGGCTGAACCAATTACATCATATCAGACTGAGCAAAATCTGACTCTGACTCATACCAGCTGCCTTTGGTGCCCGTCCCTAATGAGAATTACCAACTGAAATGCTTTGGTGAGACATATCCATCTATCGTTCAGAAGATCTGATAACATTTTAATGAATTGAAGGAATCGTTTTTTTTGCAACTTGACAACCCTTGGTCCCCATTCACTTTTTATGCATCATTGCACATAACATCTTTTTTAAATCACACAGGTTCAGAACATGAGGTTGAGTAAACAGAATTTTCTTTTTTTGGGGTGTACTTTCCCTTTAAGAGAGCAACAGCAAATTAAATATTCACATTTGATATGATCATGATTTATATGATCATTGCACCTACAGGCATCAGGTTGTTGAGAGTGGTATTGTAAATGCAGGAACGGATGGACCTCTCAGCCAAGCAGCCCTCAAACAGGTTCAACGACTCTGATACTCGTTCATGAAAATCCTCCACAGATTTATTAGCCATGCCAAAGTACAGATAGTCTGAGTAAAGCCTGCTCTCTCACACGCAAATACACACACACACACACACACAGTGCACAAACACAATAAGAGGTAAGAGGACAATCTAAAAAGCAACCCTTACATAGTAATATTATACTGGTTATGATATCCAAACCATAAATCATTATTATATCTTATTTAAACAGTGGAGTAGTACCTTTCTACTGGGTCTCTGAGCATCACAATGAATCTGGCATCTGGTTGGACAGCATGAATGAAGTCTTGCACCAGAAAAGGTGGCTCCACTTCCGTTCCGTTGTCGTAGAAATAAACCCAAGCGTTATTGTCCCACATTGTGGATGCACTCGCCTCACCTGTCAATCATAAAATATGTTAATAGCTTGATCCTTACCAACTTGATATTTCATTTGAAGACTTAGATTTGAAGACTTAATCTGATTGTTATTAGTGATTATTTATGACTGGGTTGTTTTGTTTTTGATTTAGTTGACTTAATTTCTCAGGCCTCAGTAGACAAAGACTGACATTTCTAAATTATTTATTGTTGAGTCATCAAGAGGATAGACCTTGACCATAGCATCTGGCTTCTCTAATTAAAAAGTCTAGATGATGCGTATTTCATTTGAGCACTTTCTTCATCATCATCATTACAGAAAAAAACACAATACCTATCCAAACTGGGGTTCGAGAGGGAACTGCAGGGGGGTTTTGAGTTTATGAAAAGCTAACAATTAATTATATAGTAAAAATTTTAAAATAAAATAAATGTAAAATCATATTAAAAATATAAACAAATCAAAATACAACATTATTTTTGGTTGTTTTTACTTTAGTTTTGTTTACCTGATGTCGGAGAACCGTGAACATGAGAAAATTATTGAAATATGAACTTAACATAAATATATAAAATAACAGCTTCACAGGGTACTTCAAATAAATATTTTAAGTAAAAGAAGTGTGGCTAACAAATCAAAAGGTCTACACAACAATTGAGTAACCAATTACCAATTATGATGTCCACTTTTTTGTGGGTTTTGGAGGAGTTGCTTGTCAAGTGATCTTGAATCTGATTGGCTGTTTGGTCAAAAAGGTCCAGGTAGTCATTCAGTGGATAGGGGTTATGAAAACCATTACTCAACCTGATGATACCTTAAACCAGGGGAATACAAAGTACAATTATTTATTTTTACTATTTTTATTTATACAATTATTTATATTTATTATATATTATTAACATCCAACCAGAATTGCATGGCAGCTGTTCTTTAGCTGTACAATTTGTGTAATAAACTGAATGTGATAAACATTAAGCAGATGCTCTGCATTGCAAGAAAATTGGGAGTGGTGAACATTTTGCGGACTTTTAAAAGAAGACCATCTAGCATCATGAATTCACATTTTAAACCCTGTCATTTATCTCTTACGGGAAACTCACCAAATCTCTTTCGTGTCCACCAGTGTGGCTCCTTCATAGTGGTGAAATGGACCTCTGGATGTAGCCGTAACCGGTCGTAGAGATCCGTGGTGCCACACTTGGGCTGGCCGATGATGTAAAAGAAGGGCAGGCAGCGCAGGCGATAATGTCTACCTGTGTGCTGATGCAGGTGAGCCGGAAACGCTCTGCGCAGGTGGTCATATACTGCTTGGAAGCGCTTTGAATAAAGAGCATACAGGTTTTTCCCATATGGATCAGCTGTGACATTCCCAAAGAATTCTTCATACCAACAGGGGTTCTTGAGATGGGGAAAGAATTTGAGAGGAATTGCAGAGAATATCTGTGGACGAGAAAGACCAAAAGGCTTATACTAGCAAACTAAGACTTGACAGAGCGTAGCTTGTAGTATTTACTTAATTTATGTACAAAGTTTGGGGTCAGTAAGGCTTATTATTTATTTATTTATTAGAAATTCATAAGTTTTTTAGCAAGGTTGCATAATTGATTTAAAAAGGTGTCTAATATACAAATATATAAATTTTAAAGAAATGCTGAACTTTCTATTCATTAAAGAATCCTGAAAAAAAATGTATCCTGGTTTCCACAAAAATATTAAGCAGCACAATTGTTTTCAATATTGATAATAATACATAGCACATTAGAATGATTTCTGAAGGATCATTTGTCACTGAAGACTGAACAGCTTTGCCATTGCAGGAATAAAATATATTTTAAAATGTATTAAAATAGAAAACAGTTATCTAAAATAATATTTCTAGATGATGTTAATCTTAAAATTCACAGAAACAATCAAATATGCCATTTTTTATTTTTATTTACATGATTTTTGAATTGTAAAGAAAATCAAGATATTTTGCATGTTTATCAATTTAATTCAAATGCACATACGTTTGGCTCTTTCTCTCTCACTTCTCTCAGGTCAGGCACTCTTCTCTGACTGAAATCCACTCTGGCCACAATGCTCCTCACCACCTCTCTCACAACTGTGTAGTCTGTAGCGAAGGACAGATTAAAGGGCAGCTGAGCCGGATGAGACTCCACAGTAAGGTGATACGGTAATGGCGTTAAAAAGAGCCCTTTCTGGTCCCTCGTCAAGATGTAGGATGCCATGATGAGAACGGTGACCATAAGTCCGAAAAGGAAGCTTAAGATTTTGATTTTCCGTACAGACCCGAGTGTCCACGGGCCCCATGTTTGATGTTGTGCTCTGTTGTTCTCTATGACAGTCAATACACCCGTCCACCTGTTGCTGGGGTGCAAAAACGCAGGCTTTTTTTCATCCAGGCCATTGAGAAACCCATGCCTGTGGTCCATTTTTGTGTGTTATGTTAGCTGTGTTTTCTTCACATATGAAGAGAATCCCATCGATGTGAGTTATAGTTTGTGGTCTTCATCATACTGCTCACACGAAGTGGACCGTAACCCAAAGGAGCTGTGTTTTGCCAATAAAATCAACATCTTTCATACAGCAGATGCCGTGTGGCTTCAGGTCACTGTTGATGATGGGATGTTTGTGGGCAGGAAGACAGACAGCGGAATGAGCGGGCTGGCCGCCCGGGGCTTCCCGCACGCGTGGCGAGGGGCAAGACGTGTGGGAGATGATTAGAGCACTCCTTCAATTTAGCTGCCACAAATGACACAGCGGCAGCGGGCTTGACAGCGCACCAGCACAAACACAGTGCAGATTTGGTTGTCAAGGTCACAAGTGCCCCAACAGCAGCTCAGATAACAGAAAGGTCTGTTCCTGCAAGACAAAAAAAAAGCAATAAACCGTAAATACGCAAAGACGGTTTATTGATTTGAGTCCAGGAGGCAGTGGATGGTAGTACTCTGTTTCTGTCTCTCACACATGCCAATAACTCTGTGATGGGGTTTGGATAAGCATCAGAGAAAGGATGGCAGGAAGATCACACAGGCCACAGACTGTGTGGCATATGGTGTGTGTGGGTATGTATGTGTTTGTGTGTTGTGTGTGTTTTGGAGAATGTAGGGCGTAATCCATTCAGACATGATAGCCTCAGGACATGCCTAATTAAGAACACAGTAGACTATCTGCAAGCTAATAGATACATATTTCATTTGACAGCCCCCACTCCTTTTTTCTCTCTCTCTGTCCTAATCTTTCCTTGTCATGTTTTTGAAAGAAGTCTCTTATGCTGACTTGAGCTGCATTTATTTGATCAAAAATACAGTAAAAACTGTAATATTGCAAAATCTTACAAAAATTTTCTATTTTAGTATATTTTAAAATGTAATTTATTCCTGTGATGGCGAAACAGTAATGCTCAGGGACATTTATTTTTAAATGTTTTAAGTAAAAAAAAAATTTTTTTTTTTTTGTGGAAACAGTGATGCATTTCAAAAGAACAGGATTTATTTTAAAATAATTCGTTTTTGGTCAATTTAATGCAACCTTGCTGAATAAAGTACTAATTTAATTATTTCCAAAAAAAAAATCTTTCTGACTCCAAACAGTAGTGTGTCTAGGGTTGATGAAACATTTCAGTATCCACAAAAGTGTTTTAAAAGTTATGGTAGACAGAAATTGCATTCACCCGAGGAAGCAAGCTACTTAATTGTTGGATGCAATACTGACAAAATATAAAAAATATTTGTGTAAATAATTAGAATAATGAAAATTGCATGTAAATTGAAGTAAATAGGTTTTCTTTTGTAATGTAAACATCTTACTGCGATTAAGACCTTACTCTAATTATTGGAAATAATTGCATTATATATAGTCATATTTATCACTTCATTATAGGTTTACATGTGTATCACATTAATTGGTCTAAAAATAATAATGATACAGTAAAAAATCTAAGTAAAAAATCTAAATCATGCCATAATAATGTTAATTCATATTATTATTATTATTATTATTATTATTAAAATAGTTTTCTGTATTCTGTGTTTGGTAAAACTAATGGCTTTATTCTTGATAAATATCTGAAAGTGAATGTTTAGGGCCAGCAAGTTCTAATTATTTATCATCCTTTTAATTGCGTGTTTATATTAAACTCAAGGACACTTCCTACGAATGTAGGAAACAAAAGACAAAAATTAACAACAAAGCATTTCTCCTCAATGTAGAACAACAACTTTTGAAATTGGAAATTCTCGAGCAGGGCTTTTGAAAACCTAAAAAATCAGTTTGTTTGTCTTGTTTTGCTTTCTTCCTTTTATTTGGGCAAATTAAAGGGCCTGTACTAAGATCCTCTAATGGAGGGTTTGCCTTCATCAATTCATCAGACAGTTCAGGGCTGTTATTTACCGCCTAATTGTGGTTAAATTTACCTTGGGGAGACCATTAACAGAAATGTGACTCTCTGGAAGCCCACACAGACCACAGTAATCCATGCTGAACTAATAAATAGATGTGGGGCTCATAAATTATAGATAATTTCCTATTTGTGCAGGGAAATAAATGGTTTGTATAACGCTCAGAGAGAGAGAGAGTGAGAAACAGAGAAATAGGGAGAGATTAATGAAAGAATGAGAGGGAAGGTAGTCAAAGAAGGACATGTGCGTTCCCATGGAGATAAAGGCAGGTGTCATTGATCCGTGTTGCTATGGAAAATAGACTCTGGGAGTGTTTGTATTTGTACGATGACCTCAAATGACATTCCAGTGACATCTAAGTCACATTGATTGGCAATAAGTGAGGTCTCGCTATCTCTGTCGAAAATAAGAGTTTGAGGTAAACCATAGCATCGCTGTCAGCGTGGGTGTCTATTTTAAGCACAAGCGTTAAATTTCTGATGACTTTAGCAAGGAGCTGGGCTGATGTGTGCCGTCACTTTAAATATATTTCAGAATAACAAACCCAGCTCTAAGTGTGGGGAGGTGAGGCATCTGTGAGCGTGTTTTCATTCCAGATCTGACTGAAGTAGAGGAGGAGTCCGGGACAGCGAGAGGATGCGTTAGTGTTGAAATGAGCCCGCACTGCGGGAATGCCACAGCAGTCCACAGCTCAATGATTCATTACTGAGAAGCTCCATCATTATATCTGTCAATCAAAACCACAAGTGAGGAGCTCTACAATGCACATGCCTATTGATGCTTCTGATGTTGTTAATGCAAAGCTGACACAAGCTCCTTACAGTTTAAAGTGATAGTTTGAATAAAATAAGTTTTGTCATCATTTACACACTAATCAATGTGTGTCATTTCTGTGCAATTAGTGTCACCAAATATGATTTTGAAAATAATGACTTGTAGTTTAGAGTTTACTCCTCATTTACTCACATTCATGACATTCCAAACCTGTATGACTGTTTCTATTGCAGAACATAAACAATTTTGTCCATACAAAAAAATAAATAAATAAATAAAAAACATACAGATTTGGAATGAAATGAGGGTGAGTAAATAATTTTTCTTTTTGAGTGAGCTATCACTTTTTTTTCAGTTTGACCAATTTTCATTCGTTTTCCCTATATCATTATTATTTTTAATTTAGCTGTATTTTTTTTCAGAGTGTTCTAGTTTCAGTTTAATTTTTGTTTTGTTTTTTCAGAGTGTTCTAGTTTCAGTTTAATTTTTATTTCAGTTTTAATTTTAGTTTTTAGGGCTGTCAGTTACTCCGCTAACTTGTAATATTAAAAAAAAATTCATTCATTCAGTTATTTAGAAGTTACATTTTAAAGCCATGAGTATGTACTTGTTTTTATTTTTATTTCAGTAAGCAAGAATGTTTTTATTAAATTTTTATTTTGAGTTTTAATTTACAATATTCAAGGGTTAGTTCACCCAAAGATGAAAATTCTGTCATCAGTTACTCACCCTCATGTCGTTCCAAACCTGTAAGATCTTTGTTCATCTTCAAAACACAAATTAAGATATTTTTTTATGAAATCCGAGAGCTTTCTGACCCTGCATAGACAGCAACGCAACTGACACATTCAAGGCCCTGAACGGTAGTAAGGACATCATTAAAATAGTCCATGTGACATCAGTGGTTCAACTTTAATTTTATGAAGCTATGAGAATACTTTTTGTGTGCAAAGAGAACAAAAATAGCGACTTTATTCAATGCATACATGTGGCATTCTGACGTAGATCTTATACGGTCCTATATGGGTAATGAAGGTCTTACGGGGTAGAACGACATGAGGGTGAGTAATTCATGACAGATTTTTCATTTTTGGGTGAACTAACCCTTTAACAGTTTCAAACAGGTTTCTGGAACACTCCCCCAGTCTTCCATTGGTCAGACAAACGAATAGTCCCACCCCCAAACTCAAACCTCTGACTTGAGTCATTGTTGCTATGTAAGGTTGGTTGATGGAAAATGGAAAGATACTATCCTACACTTGAAGGACTGTTTGATGTCAGGATGCTGTGATGTTCCTTTATGAGAGTGCTGCAGGACATCTTTCACATATGTCTCTCTTTACATCCTTCCTCATCCATTTCCAGAGTCATATAAAGAGGGTGGCAGGGCTGTCAGGACCACAGTCTCCGAGCACAGTGGCTGCTCTTTCTGTGCCAGCCAGTGCCATGAACAATGGATCAGAGTATGCAGGAATGGTTCCGGGTGGATGGAAGGGAATGCCAAGGATTTAGGAAGGAAAGTAGCTCAAGTTGGAGCCCACAATGTACCACAGAGACAAACACTGATACACATAGGAAAATCATGAGGAGCAATGTAGCAGTAGATATGAAACATTACTATTGTGGACGCCTTTGCATATACAGTGGCCATAAAGAATCTATCTATCTATCTATCTATCTATCTATCTATCTATCTATCTAAATATGCACTCTTGGTTGTATATGTGGGTGAGTCTGTTTGTGAAATTACAATCCAGCTCTCCAGCTCAAAGAAGACACAGAAAGCAAAATGCTTGCTCTCATCTCTTTCTGAGTTCATTTAAATTCTCCTCTAATACACACAAACTCAAACACACACACACATATAGACTTACAAGTACACATTCCATTTGTGCCGTGTCAATGGAGGGAAAACACGCAGGGATAACATCTATTCCACAGTCAGTACAAGTGAGGAAGTGAACGAATGCGGCAGCCAATAGAGATGAATAATGAAGCTCAGTGGAGCCGAGTCTGAAATGGCATCAGTCAGTTATATTAGTATATACTTATTACGTCAAACTGAATAATCTGTGCTAAATACACTTGGTTATATATTCATTGAAGTCACCTATTCAAAGCATTGTGGCAGTGTCACATCTCTGTTTTACTCTCACCCATTTTCCTTTTCAACTTTTCCCTAATTTCTTTTTTTCCTTAACTCTCATTAGGAAAGGAGAAACAGGTTTAGTTAGCTGTATGTGTTAATATGCATTATTATTATTATAGCATTACTATAGTATATAGTATTTCTTCATTACTATGGAACTCAGTGGCTACCAGCAACTATTTTGTTACCAACATTCTTCAAAATATCCACTTTTGTGTTCAACAGAAGAATTAAGTTAAGTTAAATTTGGGAAAACATGAGTAAATGATGAGTAAATAATGATACTATTTTCATTTTTGGGTGAACTATTCTTTTAACCCCACTATATTATCTAGCATTAACGGTTCAAAATTAATTATTCATAATTTTAGAGAATAGCAAATACTTCTACACTGAAAAAAATGTTTCATTCATCCAATTAAAAAAATTATAGATGTGAATCATTACCCTACATTTTTTTAATTGGATGAATGAAAAAAAAATGTTCAGTGTAAATAATAACTGAAAGTCTGGGACATGTATCATATGTTGCATATCTTCGATATTAATGCATTATGTTCCCTTTCATGGGAACTTCGAACTGCGTCCTCTAGGGGTGTCCGGGTCTGAGCCCGAACAAACCCAGCCCGTCTCAGTTTGAGGATCAGAGACTGGCTCAGAAGGCTAGTGTCGCGGCTCGCGCTCCTCCCCCGCCCGCGGGTAGGGGGA